AAAAAAATTTCAAACTTTAATAGAAAAAACAAAAAAATCTATTTGATAAATATCTGTACCTATAGTAATATTTTCTCCTTTTCCAGATGAATTTGGTTTAATACACCAATCTTGTTTATTATTAATCATAGAATCTTTTAAATAATTTGGTATTTTATTAATAACATAGGTTGTTGGTATTAATTGTATAAATCTATGTGATGATTTATTTAATAAAGCATAAAGAAATTGTTGATTTGATAAAAGTGAAAATAAACGTTTATCATGTAAAATAAATATTGTTCGAAGATCATTTATATAATTTAACTGATTATTTTTAATAAATAATTCAATAATTTCATCCGATAATTGTAAAATTTCATCTTGATGTAATTCAAAAATAAATTGTTCAATACAATAATTTGTATTGTTATCAAATAATTTTTTATTTTCAATTTTTAATTGTTTTGGATCAATAAATAAACATGGTTGAGAATATTTCTTTGTCCAATATTGTTTAAATAAATGAATATCATAACCATGTTCTTTAGATTTAAGAATAAACATTGGTTTTTTTTTAGGTGTTGATGTCACATTAGACGAATGGAAATGTCAGTTATTGGATTCAAATCATGAACAATGGATTGTTCAAGAATATATTCCCAGTGTACAATATGAATCAATGAATATGTCTGGTTTGTTATTATGTTTTAATGATCAATGTTTTAATATTGGAATAATTCGATTATCTCCGAATAAAATTGTTAATATTTCTAATGGAGGTTATTTTATTCGTCCTTATGTACATCAAGAATATATTCATTCTATGAACGATGGAAGTATTTTAACTAAAGAAAAATTACATGAACAATTGATTGAATTAAAATCTATTGATAAACAATGGAATCAAAGTGTTTATATATCATCATCTGGTGGTAGTGGAGGAAAACGTTTATTTTTTGCAACAGATATTAAACAAAATCTATTACAAAGACAAATTTTAGTTGATATGATGCTTGAACAAAATATTATATCTCATAATGATATTTGTCTAAATTTATTTCACTCAAATAATATTTATCGATCATTTGAAATCTTTAATGATTTTTGTTCAATGGCTAATTGTACAACGTTGCCAATGGGTGATGATGCAAATGATGAAGATATTTTAAAAATAATTGAGTATTTTAAACCAAATATTCTCATGGGTCCACCATATCGTTTAATGCAATTAGCATTTTTTATTGAAAAACAATCAAAAAAAGAAATAAAATTTGAAAAAATCTATTTTGCATGTGAATCACTTGATGAAAATAAACAAAGATTTTTTAAACGTATTTTTCATTGTTCACTTTACATTGGTTTTTATGGTTCAGCTGAAGTAGGTGTATTTGCTTGTCAATTACCAAAATATTCATCAACTAAAATTTATCTTTATCCAAAAGAATTAGTTCATATTGAAATAATAAATTCAAAAATAATTGTTACAAATTTAATTCGAAAACGAAATCAATTAATTCGTTTTGACACTGGTGATCTTGGACAATTTATTTCAAATAATAAACATGATAAATATGGTTTAATTGAAATATTTCATAGTGAACGATTAATTATGATTCAAAATGAGACACTTTCAAAATCAGATATTGAAGAAATTATGAAACATATGGATTTAATTGAATGGCAATTAATTATTGATTGTATTTCACATACAAAAAATAATCAAATACTTCTTCTATTTAAATATGTTAAATCTGAATTAATTTCAAATGATATTCTTGAAAAAAATATTCGAAATTCTTTACAAAAATTTTTTGATACTGCATTATCAAATCTTTCTGACCAATTAATTCTTCAATTTGAATCAATACAATTTAAAGATTTAATTAGAGATAAAACATCAAATAAACTATTAAAAATTATTGATAGACGAGTTTAACTATTATTATTTTTTAATGGTTTTTTGTTAATTTAAACACACATATATATATATAATATATTATTCAAAGTTAAAAAAATAATTAAAATCATTTTCAATTAGAATATTCTCATTTTTTTTCTATTGCTACATGAATAAACAATGTTGAATGTGTTGGGTTATTATTTTTAGCTCGCAAATGAATATGACGATAACCTAAAAAGCAAAAGAATAATAAAATTTGAAATAGTAAGTTTTGAAAATTTAATAAAAAATAAACCTGTTTGCATAGTTGTCATTGGTAAACAAAAATAAGCAAGTCGATCATCACGAGTAAATATATCATAATCATAAACATCAAAACGAACAAGACACATTTGAGGAAAATAAATATCAAATTGAAATGTTTCATTCCATATTGGATTAAATCCATTATTTTCAATAAATTTTGTTTTTTTTATTTGTTGATCACATAAAATTCCATGTGTTGATATAATAACATATGGATCTGGAATATCATCTGTTTTTTCACTTGATCGACATAAAAATTGACCACTTATTATTGTTAATATTAAACGTTGAGGATATTCATTTATATCTTTTGATAATATTAATGGTTGTTTTAAATAATCAAATGGATTATATTTGGATTTTTCTAAATTAATTAAATAATTTGGTTTAAGAACATAACCACAACCACCATTATCAATAAATTTTCCATAACATAATTCCATCATATGATCATCATTTTGATAATTAAGTGCAACCATTTGTATACCAAAATTCCATGCATCAACTGGATTTGGATTACTTGAATCTTGTCTTAAACCATCAGGATACATTCTAAGTAAACATTTTTGTGTTTGTTTCATTAAACCAATTGGATCAGATCGACAGACCTGTTTTAATTCTCTTTCAGATAGTGATGGTGAATGAAAACAAATATCTATGACAAGATCCATGAACATATTGATTGAAGAAAGAAAAAAAAAAAAATATAAACCACTTACAATGTTCATTGGCATATTCATATTTACTATAAGGTACATTTTGAAGATAAATATAAACATCGATTAAATGATGCTCCACAAACTAAAATATGACATACATGTCAGGGATTTAGTCAATTAAAATCAATCAAAATACTGTGCTTTGTCGATTGAAAAAAGAATTATTATCACCAATTATTTGTTGTTGTGATAATTTAGGAGATGTTGTTGATGTTGGTATTTTTATACCCTAAAGTACAATGACAGAACAAAAATCATAAGAAAATAGTGTATTTACTCGAACAACAACTTTGTATTTGAGATCTTCTGGTGATGGTAATACGCCTGAGGTTTTTGTTGATGAATATCCAATAATTAAACGATCTTAGCAAATCTTAGAAAATAAAATTATTCTATAGTTTATTTATGTTTACCTCCAAGAATTTGTTTCAAAATTTGAGCCATTTGATATTGTTGTTCGATGGAACAATGATTTTCAAGATCTAGGATTACAGGATATCTGTGAAAAAAATAAACAATAAGAAAAATATGGAAGGCCAGATTTTTAACGCAGACTTTCGGCTCTAGCTTAAATTGACCTAATTAACGTCTATTAAAAGACTCGTTTCTTTAATTATTCGTTACATTTCCTGATGCTAAGCAGTATGAATTTAGATCATGTTATAGTTGTGGCGTCCTTTTCAACAGTGTGTCTTAATGAAAATGCATACTGTTCATCACTACGGAATGTAGCAACTAATTAAAGAAATAAGGCTTTTTATAGGAGTTAATCGAGCCAATTTAAGCTTCAGCTGAAACTTTTATAATCCAAAAATAAATACGCATGTAGAAATATATAATACACTTACGGTGATGTCTTGAAAAGATTTGGTTCGATAAAACGAATAATCGATTCAAATCGGCATGATTTAACAAATGTATATCCATGTTTAACTATAGGTTGACCATCATCACCGTCATAACAATCTATTTCAACTGCTCGACAACCTGCTCGTAATGCTCGATTGTATGCTTCTGGATTACTTTCACCCGAGACTTGAGTATTAAATAGATAACTAGAAAAATATGAAATATATTCAATTCAATTTAGATATAGCAATGTAAAAGAAGATCATACGTATTGTGTGAAGTGTTTATATAATAATCATTTAATGGTCTTAAAACGTAAAAAATTATAGACTGAACATTGAAATAGTTTTCGTTGAGCATACCTTGTCATATCTTGATAAGTTCGACGAGAACACCACGGTTTCATGAGAGAGAAATCATCAGATAGCAATAAATTTCGAAAGCCTAGAAATGACGCAACGTATAACTATTATTTTGTAGATCATTTGTAAGTAGTGTGAACAATTGGCGAAATTATTGATTTTCAACTTCTCAACGTATTTTATAAAATTTTGTCAATTTATTAGAAAAATAACTTACGTTTTTTGTTCATTTTTCGTGTTAAATATCAATAACTACTAGGATATTTCTATCTTTCAAGATATTCCTTTCTTGTCTATTCTAACGATTCTATTTTCTTAATATTATATAACATTGATTTTTTACAAATAGTACAAACCATTTAGACTGAGAAGACCTTTTTCTTGTAATTCAATATTTGGTTCAAATTCATTAATTAAATCTTGTACGTGCTCGTATGTTGCAATCGGTTGTAGTGAAAAGATGTCTTTGCTTTGTTTTGATTGATATTGTATTATTGTTTGCTATAGAAAGAAAAATATTTTCTTTTTTTGTATGAATAGAGAAAATGAATTTAGCTTACATTTTGAACAATTTGAAGAAAATACAAAAGTTCATTAGCATTCATAGATATTGTTTCAATCGTTTGTTCGTCACCATTTTTCACATATCTGAATAAAAATATATTAATTCAAATGATAGAATTATTTTTATTCACTTACTTTTGCATGATTTCATAGAGATCAGTTCGACGAGTAAGAACACGAAAGAAATTTATAAATTCATCTGGAGTCAAAAGACCTTCACCACTTGTATCTGTTTCCTAATTAACACAAATTAGTAATTAGGTAAAAAAAACTAGAATATTCATACTTGGAAAAGTTTTTCAAAAACATCTTCTGGTACTTTTGCATTGAGTGAATCTGTCAATAGTCGACGACATTCACGTTTTGTTAATGTACCTGATTTGTCTTTATCAGCCAAACGAAAATAACTGAGAATCCAGCTATTCAAAACAACATCATATTAATTCATAAATAACGAATTTTTCCACGAACAGTAACACAAAATAGTTTAAAGACATGTTCAATGGAAAACTAACTGTCATTCGATGTATTATTCTCAACGACTAAATAATGGAGTCCTGGAATTCTTATGAATTTTCTATGATATGTTACAAAATTCTGTAGAATTCTATAGAATCCGGAATTAAGAATTTTCTTGGATTGGGTAGAATTCCAGGATTTCGTTGTTTATTCCTTGATTATTCTTCTCAAACGTATTATCTCATTGATATGTTTGATTTGTGGTAAAATAAATAATCTTATTAGTTTATTTTACTCTTTTGAGTTGAAATATTTCTTTTATTGAAAAGATTAATATATGTGTTCCATTTGTTTCTTACTTAGTTTCGCTAAGAACATGTTGCTGTCGTTTTTTTGCATGTAAATCTATCAAATATTGTAATCCTTGTATCCATATATTCCTTGTTCGTTCATTAGTTGCCATCAAATGAAGTTCATCTCGATAATTGTTATAGAAAATGGAGAATGCAACTTGTTCCTACAGAATAATTTTTTCAGTAAAACATACATAAATTTCAAATCTCTATTTAAATTACATGATATAAGTTAACTAAGTCCTTATTAATAAGTATTTGATTTTTTGCTACAAAAATAGAAGAAAAAACTCCTACATAAACACTGTCGAATATCTTATATTTGCAATGCAAAATGCCGCACACCAGTCAATGAGAGGTATTGTAGTGGTTTTTCTGCTTCATTTGAACAAGTTTAATTAAATAAATAATTCAAAAGCCTATTCAGAAAAGCGTCACGTGAAGCTCGGCAGTTGCTCGATTAGTTTGTTTCTATTACGTAGTAAGAAATTTATGACAGGATTGCAATTAGAAGTGATTTATGATCTTTAGAAAATTTCGCTTTTTCCACTACGAAACTCAACGATTCCCTTCGGGTTTTTCGCTCACCAATCTCCGTAATAAAGGTCGATCTACTCCTCAATTGTTAACCACACTTTCTCAGTAGTAGCTTCGACTAATTTTGGTGACATATAGATACTCCTAACTGCAACGTTTAGTACTCGTTGAACATTCAGTCTTTTATCTGCTGTTTAGAACTTTGGGCAATCATCTTTCATGAGATTTTAAAAAAAATGTCAGTTGTCTATGAAAAAAAAAGCATGATTTGTTTGACTGTAAAGAAAAAAGCAATTATAATGATTATACTCCATGAAATCCGATGTAGCATATTGTCGAGATGGATTACTTACATCAGTCGGTTCAATAATTTCACGTCGGACAAGTCGATCAAACGTTCGTGTATGAAAACCAGCACGAATTTCATCTATTTTGTGAATATAATCTGTATTTGAAAAAAGAAACACAAACACGATTAGATATACTCAAAAGTTATTCTTCTCAAACAAAAAGTTGACTAAGTTTATGTAAATAACTAGTGCTAGAGAAACATTTAACCTGAACTTCATTTTTGAATATAATTTTATTATATTTATTGTGAATTAATATATTTTTTTTTTGAAGTCTTAACTTTTAAATTTAATTAAATATTTCTCTTGTCATATCATTATTTACTTTAAAAAGTTTGAGTTTTTTACACATGCAGTCTGTATCAAGATACAGTGTCGGAAATATTCTGCTTGAAAAATAATTATTATTTTATATTGGAAAAGAAAATATCTTGTAACACTTTTCTTCTTCAGTTGTTCAACAAAAGACTTAAGTATTTTCAACTTTTATATAAAAAAATATCTTCGATTATACTTACAACGATGTGATTGAGCAAAAACTTTTTCCGATTGATGATATGAGATAAAACTTTCATGTTCATCAAGAAAGAAGCGACGTGAATATTTTTCCCCATTACGTTTTCGTTTTGTTAATATTGTACCACCTTTTAATTCAGTTAATATTCGAGTCAAATGTTCACTTCTGTTTGAGGACATTCTTTTTCCTTTGCATCAGTAACTTTGCTGCGCAAGACTGTGAAAAAGAACAAAATATAGATTGACAACTGTCAATAGAACATTAATCATCGGCTTATTATTTATGGTGTCTTGCTCGTTCATAGAAGTGAAAAAGAAATTCCGTACGTTCTCTAAAATATTATTTGTCATTCTTCTCTTAAGAAAAAAAAACTGGAATGTTCATAATTTTTGAAGCAAGCATGACAAGATGTGATTTTTTGCCTATCATTTAAATTAGTTTACAGAGAAAAAGTTGAATTATCCCAAGGGAAAATGGAAGAAAATCTTTGCGTGTTAGTGGTTAATAGGCTATTTCATAAAAAGCATCTGACGTCATTTTTCATAATTGTTTTAGTCAGATATGTAAAAGGTTTATAAATGTATATGCTGCACAAGCCACACATATGATTCAAAATAATCGTCAATTCTTAATGCTTTTCAGAGAGTTACAAGTGTTTGTATTTTTCTGTTTGGAATTATATTTCAGTGTAAATAAATTGATAACATTCTTGTTTCCTCAAGTCTCAATAGCTCCTTCAGATTGACCATCATAATCACAAATACAAAATTTCTTTCTTCACTCTTACTTTTGATCGGTTTCAATGTGTCATTGTCTTTATTTAATTATTTACTTGTCTTAAAATCAATCAAGATTTATCATGCATTTAGAAAAAGGACAAAAAAAAAAAGATACTAACATCAATAACAATGTGTTTTATTGAAATTTTATTCAATGTGTTGATAAACAGTAAACAATGATAGGTTTTAAAACTTTTCATGATATAGAACTAGTAATAAGTTAGTCAATTAATATCAGATATTCTAAAAATACCATGTGAGTCATAATGATTGCAACATCTAGTATTTTGCAAATATTTTAGTGCAGGTAAATCGTATAATCTTGTTTCTTTTTTTGAATGCGCCGTGAAAATCTCTAGAAGAATGGTGATGGAAAATCCTATTGAGTTACTTTGATGTCATTTTTTTATAAGGCTGAAAATGAAGCATTATATAATAGTGAAATTTCATATGATTCTGAAAAAAAAATCAAAAAGGAAAATAACATTAATTATTTTCCATACATGTTGGCAACAACAAACCATAAAACCTCATATTATTTTTTACATGCGTCGTGCAATCCCTACTGTTTTTTACATTAAAAGGATTTTTAAATTACGCTGATGAATTTTTAGACGACAACAAGTAAAGACCTTCATAATATTATTATTACCCATTATAAAAACAGAAAAAAGACTTCAGAAATCTCAATTAATCAATCTTTTGATTCTCTCATTTCCTCTTCTTCTGTGTGGCTTTTATGCATTAGCCGAGCCACCTTAATTAAATCGCTGTATCCAACGATGAACTGTAGCACAATGCATCTTATTAACCAATATGATTGACATTTCTACAGCGTTTTTCAGTTTTAGTAATCGGCAATAACGATATTACGAAGATTTTTACAATTCTTGTAGAGAATTCCACGATGCATCTTTAAAAAATCAAGATTATACAATTTATCTGTGCTGAAATATTTTCAAAATACTATATGTTGTAATCATTATGACTGACACGACATTTTTTATTCATATATATACATTTGATTAATTATAAAACCTAGAATATGTTAAAATTAGACTTTCTGAAAGCATTTTGTTTACTTATGCAAGATCAAGCAAACTGCAAAAACAGATAGTCAGCAAGAAATCGAAAACGATGTATGACTTCATGATCCTTCGATTAAATTTTTGCAATAGAACTTTGAATTCAGAGTTTGAAAAATAAATTTTATTTGAACAAGAATGGTAACTAATAAAACTGTTAAGCAGTTTACACCACATATGGTGGTTTTTAAAAATGTAATGAATGAATGAATGAACAGGTCAAACCCGAAATCATCTGTTTTTATTGCAGTTCAGTGAATTATAAAATTGAAAGGATGTTCAGCATATCCGTGAATATGCCATACTGACAGAACATCCATAGTTCTGATCTAAAACTCCTATTATATTTGGATTTACTACATTCTCGTATTTTGATGTCCTCGTCCAGTTAAACGTGTATTCTTATATATGAATTACATATTCATTCGAGAAGCAGCATGTTTAATGATGATATAGTAATAAAATACGTTGTACTATGTGAGCATATAATTACAGTGGCTCTCAAAATTACCCAATCAGTAGATTATTTTATTTTCTTGTCATGTCAAGAACTAGATGAACTAGAATGAACTGATTTTGTTTACATAGCAGCTTATAGTCTCTAGCATACTAGTCAAAAGCTTCAGGTCAATTCATTGATCTGTTTAGTTTTTATTGACTATACGACTGCAGCATGCCATTTTTATAATTTCAAAATTATCTAAGCACTTATTTTTGCAAACTGTTGCATGCCTATTCTACTGTTAAATTATCTTTAAATAAAACGTCTTTCAAAAGAATAAATAATGCTCTACTTATGGAACACCTTTGATTGTTGCTTTCCTTTGAGTAATGGTTAAAAAGCAATGTTTTTTTGACCTATGCCAAAAACTTTCAACAAAAACGGGATGAGAGATTTTTTTCTTCATGTGACGTTTAGCCAATTTTATTATTCAATATATCAATCGTAAGAGTGCTACAAATTGCATGAATTATTTTATTTGAATAGGTATTTCTTATTTGGAACTCGTGCTATTGATAGCGTAACAAGGCTGTACAAGTTAAGCGATAGAATTGCTTTTGATTTCAAATACAAGAGTTTTGTATAGAAAAAGGATTCTTAAAAATCAATGCTATTCAACAATTTTTTTATACCTTCTTCAATGTATGAATGAGATCATACAAGAAGATCTTTCTAGGATTAGTGTATACATACGAGAAGACTAACACCAGTTTGCAACGCGAAATATCTATTTAAATAGAATAGTTCATGCCATTCATAGTACTCTTACTATTGATGTATTGAATAATAAAATTGGCTAAATGTCATATGCAAAAAATATCGTTCGTCCAATTTTTCTTGAAAGTTGTTGGCATAGGTCAAAAAAAACATTGCTTTTTAACCATTACTCAAAGAAAAGCAATGATAAAAAGCGCTCCATACATAGAGCATTATTTATTGTTTTCAAAGACGTTTTATTTAAAGATAATTTAACAGTAGAATAGACATGCAACATTTTGCGAAAATAAGTGCTTAGATAATTTTGAAATGACAAAAATGGCATGCTGCAGTCGTATAGTCAATAAAAACTAAACAGATCAATGAATTGATCTGAAGCTTTTGACTAGTATGCTAGAGACTATAAGCTGTTATATGAACAAAATCAGATCATTCTAGTTCATCTAGTTTTTGAGATGAAGAGAAAATGAAATAAAATAATCTACTGATTGAATAATTTTGAAAGCTTCTGTATCTGAAGTTACATTATCTGTAAAATTCTAAAAATTCATCTATTAATAAATATACTTTATATTTATACAGATTCACATTATAACTAAAACAAAGAACGTGATGTAAGATTATACAAATTCACACATTCACTGACGTAAATTCTAAATGAACATATGCGTACTTACATATTTTGTTTCGTTTATGAATGCATGTTTTTTTCAAATCTATTGTACTCTAATTATGCGTTCGAGAAAATAACGTATAACAGACAAAAGCAGTATTCATCCTTAAGCGAGAAATAAAAACGACGAAACACATGACATGTTTTCTATTGAACAAAATTGTCGGAAAAAATATTGCACTTTAAGTCATTAAAGAGAAAGAAAACATTTTTTTGTAATGCAATAAAGTACTCGATCAATCTCGCTTTCTAACAAACCGTTCATAAGCAAATAATATAGTATACACTATCTGAGATCCGTCTACGGGAAGAAAATGTAAATTTTCACGCTGATCTATTTATTTGGTCAATTGAATGGAACAAACGAGGAAATGATTTGTAGATAGAAATTTTAACTTTTAATTCTCACTGTTTTTCAGTCGAAACCTCAGCTAATAAGATCTAAGACACTGATCAAGGAGAGAGGACAATCATGGTTAGAAAATTATTTTTCAAAGTCTACACAAAATAATATAAGCTCGTTTCCTGATTGCATCTACTATAGGCCGGTGCTTCCGGTTAGTAACAATGAAAAACAAATGTTTCCAATTACAGTTCCTAAAAAGTATCTTTAGAATCTACGATCTAATAATAATATACTATATAACTGATATAATGACTTTTTTCCAAGAAATTCGAAGATGTATTTCATTTTTCAAGATAATGAATGTCTATAAGGACGTCACCGAATAGATGCTGTAAAAAAAAACGAACGTTTTTTGGCAAAGACAATTTTTTTTCACAAAAAATCGTTTTGTTCGCAAAAACCTTGGTTTTAACAGAGATATAATTTAAAGTCATAATGATTATGAAAGTGCACATCGAAGTATCTAAAGTTATTATATTTTTTGATGGCGCTCGATTTTGTTTTCAGTTGCCTTAATTATACTTTCAGCTATTTTTTATTTCTCTTGGCATTCAATTGTGAGAAATATACATAGTTTGCTTCTGGTGGAATCATGGAGTGATCTCTTCGACTTTAGATTACGCTACACTTGAACAGCTCCTCAATTATCAGTGAAAAAGTTTCACTTCCAACAATTCCGGTTCCGCCCTGTCTTATTTTATGATTCCGGTTCCGATTCTCTTTTTTTTGCGGGACGGCCAGACTCTTGTTTCTGCTGAAGAAAATGAAAGAAACGTTTTGTAATTCAATGATGATCATCATCGGCACTAAACTGTTAAATTTGTTGGTGAACTTAATTATGTAGAACTAATTTTCAAGCTGCAGATTAATCTATTTTCACGATTAAAGAGTTATTGTTCTCAATGTTCGTATTTTGTTTTTTATGTTTAAGTAAAATTGACAATAAGTCAAAGATTGATCTCATTTGAACAAAAGAATGATAAATTTTTCTAATTAGCAAATCGATTTATAAAAAAAAACTTAGTATTCTATGGCAATAATTCGAAAGATACTATTCATTAACCAATAAAATCACTTTTACTTCAACCCAAAAAAAAGACAACTAAGGTAATATCGTATTTAATGTCGTTTGCTTGTCTTTATCACACACAATTTTGACAAAGCGGAAAACATTTGAAATTAGTTCGAAAACAATAATAATCTGAAAGGCATTTAATCATTTATTTAAACTAATTATTAATATGACAAAAATAATGAGTATTAATTGTTGTTTAATTCATTTATTTTCTATAGCAACATGTACAAATAAAGTTGAATAGGTCGAATCATTATCTATAGCTTTTAAATGAATATGACGATAACCTAAAAAGCAAAAGAATAATAAAATTTGAAATAGTAAGTTTTGAAAATTTAATAAAAAATAAACCTGTTTGCATAGTTATCATTGGTAAACAAAAATAAGCAAGTCGATCATCACGAGTAAATATATCATAATCATAAACATCAAAACGAACAAGACACATTTGAGGAAAATAAATATCAAATTGAAATGTTTCATTCCATATTGGATTAAATCCATTATTTTCAATAAATTTTGTTTTTTTTATTTGTTGATCACATAAAATTCCATGTGTTGATATAATAACATATGGATCTGGAATATCATCTGTTTTTTCACTTGATCGACATAAAAATTGACCACTTATTATTGTTAATATTAAACGTTGAGGATATTCATTTATATCTTTTGATAATATTAATGGTTGTTTTAAATAATCAAATGGATTATATTTGGATTTTTCTAAATTAATTAAATAATTTGGTTTAAGAACATAACCACAACCACCATTATCAATAAATTTTCCATAACATAATTCCATCATATGATCATCATTTTGATAATTAAGTGCAACCATTTGTATACCAAAATTCCATGCATCAACTGGATTTGGATTACTTGAATCTTGTCTTAAACCATCAGGATACATTCTAAGTAAACATTTTTGTGTTTGTTTCATTAAACCAATTGGATCAGATCGACAGACCTGTTTTAATTCTCTTTCAGATAGTGATGGTGAATGAGAACCAAAATCTACGATAATTAATTAGGGTAAAGAAAAGAAAACGTCATTTACTTACAAAGATTCTTAGTAGCATCAGATTCTCTAAAGGATTTAGTCTCGAAAAAGACACACAAATCAGATGAATCATGTTCAACTGTCTAAAAGTTCTATGGAAATAAAAAAATAATTCTTAATTCTAACTAACAGACTTCGTTTGATTCGTTAAAAAAAATATTGTTCTCATCAACATCTTCATTTTGTAATAGTTTGTGAGTTGTTGTTGATGATGGTATTTTTACACTCTAATGTATAGGTTATCAGATGTTATGCAGTATTTTTCTTAATGAAAAACAATTAACTCACTCGAATTAGAACTTTGTATTTGAGATCTTCTGGTGATGGCAATACTGATGAGTTTTTTGTTGTTATAGGTGCAGTGATTAATTGATCTTTATGAAGATTAATAAAAAAAAAAAAAGAAGTTATTCTGTTTATCCTAATTTCATCTATTTTACTTCCAAGAATCTGCTTTAAAATACGAGCTATTTCTTTTTGTTGTGAAATTGAACAATGATTTTCAAGTGAAAGAATAACTGGATAACTATAGCAGAAAATTTAATGTGTAATTAATGGATACAAAATATGCTGATTTTTGAAAATTTACGGTGATGCTTTGAATAAAGTTGGTTTGATGAATTGAATAATCGATTCAAAAAGGCATGGCTTAACAAAAGTAAAACCATGTGTGACTATCGGTTGACCATCATCACCATCATAACAATCCATTTCAACAACACGACAACCAGAACGTAATACTCGATTAAATGCTTCAGGATTACTATCACCACACAGTTGACTATCGAATAAATAACTAGAATTATACAAATTTACTTATTTCATTGATAAATAATATATCAAAGAATCATACGTATTATGTGAAGCATTTATAAAATAATCACTTAATGGTCTGAAAAATGATAGAAAAAATATGAATACAATTGAAAGATATTTTTTGGTGGATGTACCTCGTCATATCTTGATAAACTCGACGAGAACACCATGGTTTTATCAAAGAAAAATCCTCGAATAATAATAAATTTTGAAACCCTATAATCAAATAATATATATCTCAATGATGATACATTTGTAAAAATTGACAAGATTCAAACGATCTATTGTTGCTTTTTTATACCGGATTTTAGACGATTAATACAACATATGATCTCTCTATATAATTTAATCAATGTTTCATTTTTAGTATTATCAAATTTACATTCGAATCGATTTTAACATTCAATATAAAATACAACGTTGTATTTTTCAGTAATTTCCCTTGAATTTTATCATTCGGAGTCTTAGAAAACGAATAATTTATTTAGAACAATACAAACCATCGAGACTTAGAAGACCTTTTTCTTGTAATTCAATATTTGGTTCAAATTCATTAATTAATTCTTGTACTTGTTCACGTTTTGTAATTGGTTGAATTGTGAAATCATCTTTAAACTGTTTTGATGAGTAAGTCAAAATACTTTGCTACAGAAAGAGAAATTTTTTTTATCTATATCAATAGAAACTATACATTTAACTTACATTTTGAACAGTTCGAAGAAAATATAAAAGTTCATTAATATTCATACAAATCGTTTCAATCGTTTGTTCATCACCATTTTCCACATATCTGAATAGAGATATATTAATTCAAATGATAGAATTTTTCTATTCATTTACTTTTGCATAATTTCATACAGATCAATTCGACGAGCAAGAACTTGAAAAAAATTTATAAATTCATCTGGAGTCAAAATATTTTCACCATTTTTATCTGTTTCCTAATTAATATAAAATGATGATCTAGTAAGAAAGTTGTTAGTACAATCCTTGCGAAAATAAAATGTGAAATAAAATGTAGCTCCTGTTGCTAATCAATGGGAGATTTGTTTTTTTTTCTATCTATTGTGCGGTATATCTCTCCATCATCTTTTTACATAATCCTTGAGAAATATTATAAGGACGTAGTTCATATATTAGAACTAGACATTATATCGATATACGGTCTGTGACGCAGAGAAGGGAAAGCATCACTAAGACGTCTGACATTACTGTAATCGGTCGTTTCTAAATTAAATCTTACTTTAGTCAAAAGATAAAGATGTCGAAAACAAAATCGAAGGATTAAAATGTGGATAGAAATGTGAGGAAATGAGGGAGAGAATTTCTCCTTCTATACTCTATCTTTTTCGACATATGTGTCTTTTGACATTTCTATAATTTTTGTTTTCGATATTTTTACCTGTCAACATTTTCACTTTCGATCAAAGCTGACAAAATTGTTTCTAACATGTCTGTCACGTCGGTAGTGTAGGGGAGAAGGGGGTCAACATTTCTATCTCTCTTCTTCAACACTTTTTTTAGATCATGTTTTACAAAATAACATGAATAGATTTGTCCATACTTGGAAAAGCTTTTCAAAAACATCTTCTGGTAGTTCGACATTTAATGAATCGGCTAGTAATTGTTGACATTCAAGTTTAGTGATGGTATTCGATTTATCTTTATCACCAAACCGTAGATGACTTAAAATCCAACTAATAAAAATAAAATACATTAATATAATAAATAGTTGATATGATGAATGTGTCTCTCACTTGGTATCATGAATAATATGTCCCTGTCGTTTTTGTGCATAAAGATCGATTAAATATTGCAATCCTAGTATCCACTTACATCTTGTTTGTTCATCATTTGCCATTAAATGAAGTTCATCTCGATAATTATTGTAAAAGATGGAAAATGCAAGTTCTTCCTAGATATTATTCTTTTCAAAAACAAATATATAAATAAAAAATATCTAAGCGGGTACATTCTACATCTCTTCAACTTACATTCTATCAATGAAAGAAATCTATAATAATAATAGTCAAGTTTTATTTGAAGAATAGAAGAAAAACAATGAAAAGATACAATTATCATATTTGTCAACGTCTAATAGGATAGACTTTTATAAATTAATAAGAAATCTCGAATAGTTGTTGAAATTATAAAATAGAATAACTTACATCATCTGAATGAACATTATGTTGCTTAAGGAGTTGACCAAATGCTAGTGTATGAAAACCAGCTCGAACTTCGTCGATTTCTCGAATATAATCTATGTTTCGAATACATAGATAAATGTTCTCATCAAGAAAATATTGATTTGTATTATTTCTTCTTTTCAAAAAGAAAAAGAAAAAGAAAACTATGCAACTTACATCGACGTGGTTGAGCAAAAATTTTTTCCGATTGATAATATGAGATAAAATCTTCATGTTCATCAAGATAAAAACGACGTACATATTTTTCCCCATGACTTTTTTGTTTTATTAATATTGAACCAACTTTTAATTCTTTTAATATTTGAGTTAAATCTTCAGTTTTGTTCAATGACATTTTATTTTTGTTTTATGTGCTGGTTGCCTGGTTGTATCGATTCCTGAAAAAGAGCAGAATAAAAATTGACGAATAGTAACAGAATATTAGTCACTGACGTGCTTAGAGGAATTCTCTTGCACATTTATATAAGTAAAAAAGCTCGGTAAAATGAATAAAATACTACTGTTTAAGCAGCATTACGCCGAGAAAAAAAAACCTATGTTATTAATTAATTAATTTTTATTAACATGTATATTCTGTGAATGAGAAAATGAGCGTGAAAAATAAATTCAATTAAAAAAATATTCAGAGCAAATATTATTAATGGAGTCACTTGATGAGAACAACGTATCACGTATTATTGTTTCGTGTGTTTTTAGTATTGAAAAGTGTGAATAGATATTTTTTCTCTTCTACTAATTCAATTTTTCATCGAAATGTATAATACAAATGAATAGCAATTTATTTTTACTTTTTATATTGTTTAATCATTACTGTACTTACTTTGTTGCACTACGATTATATTCTACTTTATTTTACTCTCCATTTTTCTTCTCCTTTTTTTTTTTTTATTTATTTTAACCTTTTATAACTCCCACTTTGTTTTTTTTAATACTTGTAAGCATTTATATACATCACCAAGCAGAGACATAATCGAACAAAAAATTGTGATGACGTCAATTATGTAAAAGACATTAAATATTTCATATAATAAAAATTCTTTGATATTAGATTCTTTCAATGATTTATTTATATAGCTAAATAACATGAACAATAAAACTAACTATACAGTTCTATAATTAATATTGTGATTGAAGAGAATTACATTTGTAATGAATTTGTATTTATTTTTCATAAAAATATTTATTGATATTCGTTATAAGTTAAGTTTTTAAAGTTCTTCCAATCCAAACTGAATTGAATTTTCATCACTAAATCCAATTTAATAATAAATTATACTTTTTTTTTACAATTAGAAGAGAATATTCCATATTTTTTAAAATCAGTAAATTAGAGAAACATGTTATGGCATCACTTTAACTTGTTAATATTATATATAATTTGTTATATACCCTCGAAAAACTTCGTATGTGAAGAGTCGATTGTTGTGAAGATGAATTTTCACTGCTAAACAGTCAAAAACTGAGTCTTAATTGCACTGAGTTCGAAAAATTAATATCATGCTTTGTTAAAACAAGAAAATGAAAAAAGGTTTGCTTTTGAGAACAATTTAGTTATGGTGCAGACTATAATGTACTGACACGAAAATAAACCAGTATCTATTTCTTCAGGTGCGAAAAATATTTCATATATTTTATCTATCGTAATATCTGCTTATGAATAATTTCCTTTTTCGTTTTCTGTTGTTAATAACATGCTCGAATGAATAATCAGTACGTATACAGTCGTGGCCTTGAAAATGAGAAAGTGACTGATAAACATCTTCTTCATCATAAAAAATTTAATTAAAAGAATTTCAATTAGTTTTAGTCATTTTGATGTGCCATGCTATTTAAATTTTAGTAGAAATTGAAAATAAAACATTATTTATAAATAATGATCTTGTTTTTACTCAATAAATGTAATTTTTAACTCATTTAGATTAATATCTACAGTGATTATTACTGAACATGGTCACATGGTCGTTTTTTGTTAACAGATAAAAAAAATAGAGGCAATGTATAGCTTTTTTTTCTTCAATGATACGCCGACATAAATGTGAAAATAATCGATTTATTTTCATACCCTTGTCTTTTTGAATCATTATAATTTGAAATATATTATTCTGACTGCTTCATTTACAGTAATCGAAATCATTGTTAGATATTACTTTTTTTCTTTTATTAATCACTGCTTACTTCGTCTTGATTATTGCCTGATAAACACACATATGTAAACAGATATTCGAAAAAAATAGCAAAGTTTTATTGATTAATGTAGTTATCGATTATACACCTTTATTACTTGACTTTTCATGAAAGTAAATCAATCGAGACAATCTGTTGTTTTCTTTTTCTTTTTCCTTTGCTATTATATGATCAATATATATATATATATATTTATGTACATATTGTATTGTTATTGTTCATTCGAGCTTGACATTAGATGTTCAAAAAACCTTAGATCAAAGTCGGTAAGTAATATTGACTGTATACACCTTGTGCATGGCACATTTTTTTTTCTAAACGTTATTCATTCGTACGTTTACGTCATTATTTAACCCATTACTGACAATTATTAGATTGCAAAATACATAAATCAACTCACACGATTTATCATTTCAAGCAACGAAGAATCAACACACGACGTTAAGCATGAAGAGAAAGACACACACGTATAAATGCATATAACGAGGTAATTAGAATGGCTGGCTCGCAGGTAACATGATTGTCCTTACCGATGATATATAAAATAAAAATGCACATATACTTACGGTATGTATATGCAGTAACCAATGTGACTATAGCAATTACTGCTGTGCATATCAAACCAATTATATTCTCTAAAAAAATTATCTCAGCTATGTCTATTTTGTATATTCGTTTAGTTCACACATCACGTATCTTCCTTCTTTTCTGTGACCTTCTTCTCATCGTATCTCCTATTAACGCAGACGGATAACCATGAATTACATTGAATAACATAAATGGCCTTTTTCTCTTATCATATTTTACTTTTTTCAGATCAAAATGGTGTAATAGTAGAAATAAATCGAATTCTGTTAATATTAATAATATGTATTCAAATCCATCGAGTATTCCTACACCTGCTTCATATGCTCCAACATCTATTCAATTTTCTGATACCAATGCAAATGCTCAACAACAAAAACAACAACAACAACTTCGTTATAATTTACTCAATTTTAATGTTTCAGCAACAGCTGGATTAATGTCTCCGGCACCAGTCTTAGTTTCGTCTAATAATATAAATAGAAATGGAATACAATCTTCAACTCAAACATCATCTCAAACAAATGAATCTTTGCAGCCACAATCATCATCGCAGTCGAATACTATATCATATTCTACTATAAGTCATCCCCGTGTCCAACAAACTCTTATTGAAAATCTTTATAATAATGTTATTCTACGTGAAAAAAATCCCAATCAATTATATGATGCACGAAAAGCTCGAAAACGTTTATCTGAACCCGTATTTATCAATCAACAACAAACACTTCAACCAATAATAATGAATCATCAGCAAGGTAATGTTCATCCAACTGTACAACAACAACAACAACAGCAACAATATGCTCAAACAAATCTTAATCTTCTGCGTGATTCAAGTACTCATTCATTAAATCGTCGTCGTTCATTACGTCTTAGTAAAATACCAATAATTCTACAAACAATACCTCAACAATCATCTCAATCATTGCAACGTGAATCACAAAAATTATTAGTTGTTCGTCATGCTGAACGAGTTGATTCAACATTTGGTATTGGTTGGCTTGATCAAGTCTTTGATAAAACAACTGGTGCATATCGTCGAACAAATTTAAATTTACCTAAGACAATGGTTACAAGAAAAGATTTGAAAGATTTTTTATTTGATCCTCCATTAACTGAATTAGGTTTACATGAATGTAAAATGGTTGGTGAAGAACTTGCTGCACAAGGTGTTGAAATTCATCATGTCTATGCATCACCTGCATTGCGTTGTGTTCAAACAGCTGATAAAATTCTTGAAGGTCTTCAAATACGTGGTAAAAGACCAATTCGTATTGAACCATGTCTTTTTGAATTTCTTAAATGGTATTCTATTGTACCAGTAAAATGGCCATTTCTTGATTTAGATGAATTAACACGAAATGGATATAATGTTGATAAATTTTATAAACCATTTCATCCTATTGAAAGTCTTAGGAAAGATGAAGATGAATTAATGTATTACACAAGAAGTCATTCTATTATAACATCAATTTTAAAAAATCATGAAATTGATGGAGGAAATTTACTTATTATTGGTCATGTAAGATCAGTTAAGTTTATTTTTGATAAAAGATAATTTTGTTTTCTTTTTAGGCACCGACAATTGAAGTATGTACTCGACAATTGACTGGTGGTCAACCACGTATTAATGATTTGAAATTTCTTGTTTTACGTGTTCCTTTTCTGTCAATGCATTGTATTGCTAAACAAACTGATGGTACATGGAAAGCGACTAAACCACCAATATCACCAATTAAACATACAGCTGTTGAACCGTTTGATTGGCGATTTTTTCGTTAAACAATAATTAAATAGATTCACAAACATTCGTTATTACTTCGTTCCCTTTTTTAAATATATTTTAAGAAATAAATGAAGAAAAGTTTATGAATTTAGTCAGCAAATTGTGTACTGCTCATTCACTTATAAAGATGTTGACTATGTATTATAGTATAAAGAAATATAGCAAAAAAGATCTTTTGAATCTTGAAAAGATATTTTTCGAATGTTGATTTAATTATCTGAATTACAAATTCGTTTAAGTTTTTTCATGAATATTTTCTCTAGCGTATTGAGTATGTATTCCATTTCAATTAATTTGTGTAATCAAATAAGTCAAATATTTTTATTCGTTGACGCAACATTGTTGATACAAAGCGAGATTATTTTACAGATTTTTGTTTGATTTCAATTATTTTTTTAATTCATCATATAAAATTGATCTTTCATAAAGGTAATTTGCTTTATTTTGAAATGAATAATTTAATTTCTTATATCTTTATTTTATAAGCTTGTTCTTTCAAGTTGTCGTAATTATCAGGTTATTCTAAGAAAACGCAAAGATTAAGAAAAGATACATGATTTTATGTTCTTAGAATTTTTTTATACAACTATGACAATGAAATTATGTTAATGAAATTCTATTATTTTCATTATGTCTTTTTTGATTAAAAAAAAATAATAACATTTTCTCTTGAAATAGTGGAATTTATTTTGATAGTTTATTTTATTGGTAACATTGTTTCATAATCACTGGCTCAAAGAATTTGTTGAAAATTTTCAATTAATACAATTTCAAAAAAAAAAAGACCAAGTCACAGCAATGACTATATATATTGAAATCGGCTACGATCCGTTGAACTCATAAAATGAGCTTTTTTTTAGTGAAAACTTTACAAAAAATATTTTTTAATATTTTCTAATTTTTCTTTGCATGTTTGAAATATAATTTGCTATGTTACGCGTTGTTCTTCTCAATATGCTTGCCAATGTTCTACTTCCTACCATGTTTTTCTCTTCTACTGATGTTAATGATAGTCGACGTTGGAAATTAAAACAAATCATTTAACTGATGATTTTAAGAATTTTCATTGAAACAATCTCACGAATTTGATTATTCAGAAAATATACAGAGACTTTTAAAAATAAAATTTTTCCAACGTTGACAGACAATCGTTGTTTAGACTATTTTAATCCGATAAATGAAAGACTCAAGCTTTTAGGAGACACTGCATCATTTTTTCTCGCGTTTTTTTTGATTCATCGAACACTGATCAAACATAAGCAATCTTCATAATCAATGGAAACCGTATGTACAATATGACCTATTTTCAAATGAGCAACTTAATCAAATTTATTCAATCGACATTGAAAAATAATTTAAGTAATCGTATATTCATACAGGTAGTCGTATTGTACAACGTGAATGGCTAGCTCATTATGATGACATTGACGTTGCATTGTGCTCATATTCCCAGCGGTCTTTTCTAACTCATTCGCATGGATACTTATTACCAAAAACAATGCCTTATACATTTGATGACTATCTTTATAATCACATTTGTAGTACTAACAAATGTTTAATCATTACTAAATTATCAGTTATTATCAAAGAAAAATAAACTCGTCAACAAATCAAACATTAGCTAAAAGACTATCAGTTGGATTATCAAGTAAAGATTATTTGTTCTCAAGTATTAGTAGTAATGAACTCATTTCTTCTTTTTTCCTAGAATGCACAAATGTATTCAATTATAGTCTAATTAATGAATCCATGAACTTAGTAATTTTCTCTCTATTTTTTTTAAATAAACAATTTTAATTCTTCTGTATTTCTGTGTCTGTTGCCTTTGAGTCTAATATAGGACAATAATCATTTTTTATTTTCATTTCTATTGTAGATATATTTATAAAGCTCAGAATACTGCTATCTTGTAAAGCTATTGAAACGCGTCATCGAAATAAACTCTACATTTCTTTATTTATTATTTATTAAGCACTCTAGCTTCAATCGAATTGCTTCGTCAGAAGATTGTTTGCTCAAAAGCAATGGTTAAGATCGTCATATTAAACCTGTCTTTCATTCAGAAGATAGATCATTTTATTTTTGATGGATTCAGACTACTGTGAGATGATACTTTATTCTATTGTACTCTCATGCTATGAAAAAACAGTTGAAATTTGGCGAAAGTCCTTTTCATCTTATTATCCTTCAGAAACCAGTGCGCGTAGGAATATAAAAACGGATGTTTGGATATTTTCGTTGATACAAAGAAGAAGTCTTCAGACATGTGAAATTAAGCTGTTGCTGTTGCTCATTATACATACAAACCATAGATGGAATCAGACATGGGCAGCTCCGACTGTTTCTCACTCCAAATTGGAAAATTTCTCTGCCAACTCCGCTCCAGTTCCACCACTCTTACGAAGTGCTCCTGCTTAGCTCTAACGAAAAAGTTTTGTTACTATTTCTCTTGAAGTTTGATGGTGTTCAGTGTATTGCATGTTGTATTTCAACATATATGTGTATACAGAGAATATAGAAAAAAACAGACTACAGTGAAGTCTCTCTAAAGTGATAGCACGATCGGGACTATGCAAAACCGTTCACAATAAGGAAGTGATCATTTGCGAGAGGCCCATTTCCAAGAAAAGTTGACTTTTCGGACTGCTTAAAAACTCTGACAATAACGAGGTTTTTACTATAGAGAGGTGCTAACTATCACTGGTTTTACTGTAATTCTAAATATATTGAAGCTAACTTGATTACAATATCAAGATTATTTACAATGACAAATAGACTAGTGAACGACAGCAAGTGTCGATTGCATTTTAGAAAAATTAGCATTAAGAGCATATTCTTAAAGAGTTGACTACGATGAGGATACATGAGTATGCTGTTCAAAGAAAACATTTGTTCAACTGAAGTGGAGGTAGCCGATACACAACGTACTCTGGTAGCAAGTCGGTGCAAGTAAGAATAAAAATTCTTCTTCAAAAAGATCAGACGAATATCATTATTATGCTCTTTGTCAAACATCTAGATTTCACTGTCGATCGATTCAGATACACATGAATGTTTCCTCTTCATCGGTGTTTGTTGTCCTTCGTAACTAGAAAAGAGTCGTTTGCCCTTAAAACTTGATAGGTTGTTCAATGTATCATGATCAATTGTGCAGCATTCAGTAATGAACAATTCGATTATGTATTCCGCAGTATTATTTGTTGTACTGCGCAACTGCAATTGTCGATAACAACGGGAGAAGATGATTCATTAAACTTATCATCTTGCTCAGTTGACAACGACTGATCATACGATTGTTTTGACATAGAAAAGTTTGTTTCTGCAACTTTCACTTGAATGAAAAATTGTGTTCTATTCCAGCAATGCTCGCTTCTTACACATTTTGTATTATTGAATTTTCTTTCTTCATCGACGTCGTGTTCTTACAATTTCAAACTAACAATAGCGCAGTCCAATTAGCTTAGAACAATCGACTAAATGAACGGTCAGTCATTGTCTCGAGCATTGCCATTGATAAAAGTATACCAATGGCATATTCTCTGCAATGAATAGTCGATGACGAGATTTTCTCTCACTAGTTCTTCCGTCTTTGTTCTTAGAAGAATAAAGTGAAAAATGGACGCATGGTTGGAGCTAGAAAGAAAAAAAGCCGCTTCGACTTCGCTCCAGCTCCATCGTTCCGACGAATCGTTCTGTTCCTGGAGCGGAGCTAGCTCTATAGAGTGGACGCTCCGGAGTCGGAGCTGCCCATCTTTGGATGGAATCGATCCGAGTTTCTAATGATCAGTAACATTACCGATTTAAATTAGTTAGAGCGGACCGAATAGTATATTGATGTGACGAGTAGATGTGTTTTCGGTCATTATGAAATTTATATCAGTATCAAGACCAAAAATAGTCATCGATACTATTAATTAGTTTTATCTGTGATTACCCTCTCCTCCTGTTATATAGACTATAAAATAATAGGAATAACAAGGGAAACAAGTCTTTATGATCATGTTAATGAATGTATGTTACTTTTGGATACAGTATGTCAGTAAAATTTTGTTACTGATGACACCCAATGAGCCGGTTAGTAGTATAACTGATGGTGGAGCTAGAACAAAGTAGCAAAACAACTTTCTTTAGATACGGAATAACTTTTCGCACTAAATATTTGTACAAAAATATTTAAGTGATATTTTCTCTAATCCAACAAAATGACAAATTGTTCTTGTTATGTGCACATTTTTATTTGACATATAAATCTAATGTAGATGATCGTGTAATTAAAGAAAAATAGGTGACTCAATTAAAATCCACGAATAAATATCAATGCATTCGGAATCCATTCAAATATAAAGGTGTTTTAAGCACACACATAGTCGTACTGTTGCTGTGCAGCGAGCTCTAAAGAAACAATTAACGAGTTTTATTCATCTATTATAAATGTATATAACTCGATAACATAATTATAATATTCTACATAGGTATATGTCTACATGCTAAAACACATTTGTCATGTTTTTTAGTTAAATTAAAATGATGCGGATAATTCTGGTCTTTAAACTGTTGGTTACGCTATTCATATTCAAGAATAGCAATTCTATTTCAAGTTCTGTCAGAACATTTACTAAATATAAATATTCTACAGAACTTGAAAAGAATGTAGCCGATCTTTAGTGGACAGTGGACGATGTCAAAAAAGAAATTATGTTCGAGTTACATATTAAAACTAGAGGTTGGATTGCTTTGGGCATTAGTCCAGGTAAAAAAACATCTAGATCTTATAATTTTTCTTCTGTCATTTTCAATAAATGAATATCTAGGTGATGGTATGTCAGGCACAGATATCGGTATGGGTTGGGTTGATCAAACGGGTGACGCTCATTTTCAAGTAAGAAAACTGCTGTTAGTGTCACAATAGCCTTAAAAAATAGACAGAACTTGATTATTTACAGCAAGAATTGAATAGCTCCTTTTTTTCTATTCGTGTATATCACACATTGTTTTCTCACATTGTATTGAAAAGTTCAATCATTCTATTAGGATCGATATGATTTTAATTTTTCGAAACCTATTCTTGATACTACAACCATGGATTGGCATGCCCTTCAAGGTCGTGAACAAAATGGATGGACAGCGATTCAATTTAAACGTTTGCTAGATACGTGTGATTCAATGGATGTTCCAATTAAAGTATAAGCTTATCAGGTTTTTTACGTTTCTTAATAGAATATATTTATCTAGTCTGGAACGAATATTCTTATATTTGCTTACGGTTTAATCGATCCAAATATAGGTCAACTAGATGGTGATATTTCATATCATGAAAATCGACGAGGTTCACGTATAATTCCACTGCAATCTTATAGTGATCCACCTCCAGAGAGCAAGTTTGCTGAATTTGATTCGTTTGAATTCCGAATGAATAATGTTTGTTATAAACTACAAATTATTTTTCGATAAATTTCTTATTGATATCTATTTTCATATTAGTATTTAGTTCCACCAACTGATACAACATATTATTGCAAAGTATTCAAGTTTCCGAACCATTTTCCAATGAAACGTCATGCTATTGCAGTATGATATGATTTTAATAATTGATGAAGTATCAACTATTCTCTTTATAGCGCAAAATAGTTATTAATGCTACAAATCGTGATTTTGTTCATCATATGGATACGTATGAATGTGATCCTCAAGCAACCGACTTTGATGATAATAATTTGCCCGATGGTGAATGTGATCAAATAATTGAACGGATAACAACATGTCGATCAAATATGATTACGATGTGGTCTATTGGTGCAGATGATGTAAGCCTATGTTTTGATAGTACAAATAACAAAAAATAATAAGAATGAAAAAGTTTTCCCTAGATTTCAGAATATATTCCCGAAGCTGGCTATCCTATTGGTGGTGATTTTTCGGTAAAATATTATATGGTTCAAGTGCATTATGACAATTCACAACAATTATCAAGTATGAGATCAAATGTTTATAAGAAGAAAGATATTGTATTAGATTATCAATTTAACAGATCGTCGTGACAGTTCCGGCATAAAATTTTATGTTGATAGCAAACTTCGTCAATATGATCTTGGCTATCTTCTATTCGGTCTAGCATCAAATGCTTATGGGATTGCTATGCCGCCACGTGTCGATCATTTTATGATTGATTCTTATTGTCTAACCAACTTCAGTAAAGTATGCTAATAAGAAGGCCTAGCTCCATTTTCTCGTCTAAAAATTCAACCTATTCAGTATCTCTTCCCTTATCACTAAAGTAGCCGTAAAATATCCTCTGTCGAATGTCATTAATACCACAGGCTTCTGTTTTTAATTCTTTTTCTTGAAGACGAAAATCGAGAATCATTGATTGATATTTCACTGTGCAACTTACATGGTCGAAATACCTGATAGTTTTTCTTTGGTCAATAGGATTTTTCTGCAATCTTCATCAAAAGAGAGCTGAAGATAGACACTATTTCTTCTTCAGGCGGGGAGCCTTGACTGCAATTTGTCCTATTTTTTCTGTTTCAGGAAAGAATCAAACGAGTGTACAGAAGCATTACTTTTTGGACATGCTATAAAAACTGACTTTGAAGGTTCTCTAGTCGCATAAAAGCGCACACTACCCAATGCCTGTTTAAAAAAGAACGGTCATGGATGTTTTTGCCGTAACTCAAGAACGGAGAGAGATATTGAGCTACGGCTTTCACCAGTTGAAAGAGGAAACATCGGGAAGTCTTTTTCTCTAATATTATATAAGATGAAATTATTTTAAAATCAATCATTTCTGCAAAACATTGCAAGAAATGTAAGAAAACAGTCTGTCATTTCGATGAAATTTTGTTTTCTTGATATGTCATTTAGATAGAAGAATTTCAGATATGTATTTTAAGGTATAATTCGAATGATTATCTTCACATATTCTAATCTTAATTCAATAAATTTGTGTATTTAGGCCCTCGAAAAATATGAATTTATCTTAACTTTTAAGCAAACTTTCTTACCTTTTGTCAATATTTGATCTGAACAGCAGACCATTTTCTTACATTTCTTGCAATGTTTCAAGTATTCAAATAGTTCATAAATATCCATTTTTATTAAATATCTTTGGAAGAAAGATGACGTTATCAGCACATATAAGGACAGATACTTGAAGGTTAATATGTCTTCATTGAGATTATTATTATTCCAGCAATAGTATTCTTTAAAAATTTTTCTGATAACTATCTTTTGATAGAAAAAAACAGAAGCAAGTCATAATTATTTGATTATGTCAAAATATTGAAAAATGTTATCATAGAAGGTAAATTTTATTATTTCGACGGACTTTAAACTTATGAAATCACATCAAACGAGAATTTTTCATATTATCTTGCCCAGATATATACAGAATTAGAATCTATTTCAAGAGAAAGAAGCATGATGTTACTACGATTAATACCTTAATCGATTGTAAAAAGATTACCAACACAATCAATTTGTATTTCTAAAACAGCTAAAAATAGTTTTCTTGACTAATGAATCACTGAGTTATATATTCTACTGCTAGAATCCGATGTAGATGGATTATTTTCTCTGCGATCTCATTAGCTTTGATTTACAGAACTGACATGATAGATGAGTAGAAATTGGTCTTAGAGACTTTTTTTCATGTGCAAGACCATTGAAAATCAGCATAATCGTTTGTAATCAAATCAATGCAAAGAAAAGCCGAAGTACATACGCTGGGAATGCTATTGATTAGTTCAATCAATCCGGAAGTAATTGATGGATTTTCATCTATTCATAGAATATTTCTGTATCTGGAATCACAGTTATTGGTGCTCTACCACACACTCATTTACAAGGTAACAAAACATCACAAGATTGCTATTTACGGTCAATTTAAAAAAATATTTAGGCCGAAGTGTGTGGACCAAATTGATTCGTAATAATCGAGCTGTACAATATTTATTCAATGCAGAATCTTTCAATTTTAATTATCAATTTGAAAATCGTCTTCCAAAACCGATCAAACTCTATCCAGTATGGCAAAAAAATATTTATTTTCTTTTTTCTAATTCTTTTGCTTCAATTTACAACTTCATCGAGGCGAAAAAGTGAGATAGAAAATTCAAGAATGATATATTTTTTAGATAAAATTATCATTACTTAATATCTTTCTAGCAAAGGAGGTGAGCGATTAAGGTCATTTTTGCGGGTGTGGATTGGCAAAAAAATATCCACATATCCGCCCCAATGTATCCAAGTAGTTAACAGAGAAAAAGATGGTGTAATCTCAAACTGAAATATTGTCCAAAAATCAGTCGCGCGGTCAGTAGGGCATCCTAAATGTTTCAATTGAATGAGTAGTTCATCTTAGAAATACGAAGCTTTTAAGAAACCTTGCTTTTTCTCACTCTTCGTGACATATGAGCATTTTTCAAACTCTGTATATCGACAAGAGAACATAGTTTTATGGCATTCGAGCAACCGCAAGATTGATCTTTGAGCAAAACTTCAGGTCAAAATATCATCATGCATTATCCTTGTAGAACTCTTTCACATGGTCAAAATGTCAACGAAAGCAGTAATTACTTCCAACTATCAGACAACAGTTGTTTATCTCTGAGGTTGTTCGAAACTCACTGACAAAGAAACAGAGCCAACCGATACTTTCCGTTTGAGCTCATTTTTCATGAATGGATGCTATTAAACCTTGCTTCTCAATTTATGATCATTTTAGCGGAATTTTACCCTAAAGTTTTGTTCAGAAATCAAACTTACAGTCCTTGTAGTATCAGTTTTGCGAAAATGTTCTTTTCTTACAAAAGGTTCGTAAAAAATATTTTTCTAAATGTATCTCATATCTTTCAAAAAAATTATTCGTATTAGAGGAAACTTTCATGGTATTAGAAGGACTATGAAATCTATTTCTGAACTAAGTTTCGCGTTGAAATTCATTGAGACAGTTTTTCTTGTAATATCTTGCAATAAGTTGAAAATAGAGTAAAATGATCGTAAATGAAGAAGAAAGACCTAATGACATGTATCCTGATAGAATTTTTATCCATGTAATGAACCGTATCAATCAGCAAAATATAAGGTGAAATGGAAAGTCTTAGCTCGTGAGGTGCTCGACACAGAGGAATATCCCTTCGTTAGCTTATATATAAAAAAGGATATTTAAAAAAAATTCAACCTACTGCAAAGTTGAGATCAAATTAATTGCCTAATTAGATGATAATATGAGACGAAAAGTTTAATTACTGGAAGATATTTTTGGAATTTTTTTATGAATGCCAGTTTTTGCTATGATACCTATCACATAACAAAAAAAAACAATGGCTGGATATTGAAGCAACATTTGCAGAGATATCATTCCATAAATTACCTAGTATTCTAATGAGATATGTTCTAATTATCTTTTATTTTGCTAGGGTGATGAATTTGCTACACGATGCATATACAGTACAAAAAACAAAGACGGAATCACATTGATATGTGGATGATAACATATATTATTATTCCCCATCGTCTTCTCTTATTTTTAGGGTGGTGAACGAACAAAAGACGAAATGTGCATTCATGTATTTATGTATTATCCTCGAATAGATAATGTTTCTCAGTGTGGAACAGAAAATGATTTGTCATCGTGGCGAAGTTTTTTTGAAAAATTCAGCGTAAGTTATATGAATGATAGATATCAATAAATATATATATATATATCTAAATGATTTCGATAAAATCTTATTTTAGAGAAATTGATAATTATGATAAATTTAAGAAATGATTAGCTAATATAAATTGGACCCCTCAATTAGCTGAGGAATGGCAACAATTCTATAATAATGCTTCGCGTCGCCTTACCTTTGGCGGTGGAAAAATTGTACAACGCCAATTATTGGGTGCGATACCTCCATATGAAGATGTGGTCTCTGAGCCGTGTAATCGAATTTAAAATTTTGTGGAATATTTAAAAAAATGCATTTTTCTTACATTTGGTGCATTAATAATGAGATGCAAAAAAAAATAATCAAATAAATTGGTTCTTAATAATCATCAGACTAAAAATAACAACTGCAGAAATGAATTAGTACATATGACAAGAGCACACAATACAATGTTTCTACAGAAATTATTCAAAAATTGTGTCAATTTTTCTGAAAAATTATCTTTTGTTTTCTTTCTCTCCAGAGTAGCATCTGTTTTAGAGAACAAAAATTTTTTAACTTCTCAGATCAATTTATCGTACATGTATCTAATCGGGAAACAAACAAACTTTTATTTTAATGATTATTTTGAAAATTTTCATGCAAAAACAATGCCGTGACTTTGGTAATTTCACAAAAACAAAAATCATTGTATTAATTTCATTACTTCTGTACTATTCTCATTGCATGACTTTGACAATACATGATGAAAATAATTAATTAAATCTTAGTCTAAATATGTGCTCTTACATATCTATATCACTTTTTCTCAAAACGGCATGTGTAAGGACGGATAGAATGTTGTGTTCTACCTTTTCTATCATAATTCAGTAATTGCAATGCCGCACTATATGCCACTTTACACAACAATAGGAAAAAGTGAATCTTACAAAAAGTTAATTGTACATCGTCTCGAAAAGGATCATTCGAGACTTTGAAGAATGTACAGATAAGACTATGTCATCTACGTCTGTAAGTGACTCAAGTGGCAAAAAGTTTACTTCTTTTTTATTGGTCTTTTTTTTGTGGTGTGATTTAGATGGAAATCGAATCTTCTTCATTTCGTGACTTTCATGCCAATTTAACTATTTTCACGAAATGAAAACTTTGAAACTAATATATTACTTTAAAATAAATACAACAAATATTCATTTCATCCTCAAAAATAGGGATGCAACGGTGGCGGTGGTCCACCGCCCACCGTAGTACCGATGCACCGGTCATGACATACTACGATTGAAGTTACTTGAGTTGCACTGATGCTAGTCGAAAGTGACTCTGGCCATTTTATAATCGAGAAGTGCATATTGAGTCGGTACACATCTGGCTGCTCCAATGTATGATCGAATTTCGGAAACTCCATAATCTGTTCGCATACAGTGGCCACTTGACAATTACTGTACTGTGTATGCACATGACATCCAACAGGAGTATTTTCATATAACTGACATCGGCTAGCGTAAAGGCATCTGAATATGAAGGATGCTTCTGCAAATAACTTCGAAATATGAT